AGCCATCCAGTTGGCTTACTGGTCTGATGACTCTGGCAGCCGAACACTGGAGTCTGTGTCACCCCCTATTCATAGTGGCAGCTACCGAAATATTGATAAAACTGTCACTTTTCTGATTCTAATTACACTTTAGTTTGCCGTTGCCAGAAACACTTTGCCGTTGATGGAAACGTCTTTCTTTAGACACTGAAAATGCTCACCCTTGTGGATTTGCAGAGGAGGGCCTTTGCATTTTTCAGCCTAGCTGGAGTCTGATATAAAAGAGGAAGTCTCTGACCTAGACCAAGGGACAGCTCACTGGTGGAGTTTCCCAACAGCTGGGAATAGGAGGGGTTTGAATTCCTGCAGCAGCATTTCCTTGATCAGTGGGTATCTTCAGCCTTCGCCGTGTCAGTTTGATACTCAAGCTCCTAGGTATCTAGTCACATTTTCAACTTTTATATGTGTGGTGGGACAGGAGAAAGAAAAGAGGAAGAAGTCAGAATAGTAAGGGGATGATTTTTGGAAGAAGAAAGAAAAGAAAAACTATAGGGAAGAATTAAGAGAAAACCATGTAGAGAAAGGGAAGCCAGAGACATTAAGGCTGTGTCTACATTGGCACCCCTTTCCGGAAAAGGGATGCTAATGAGACATTTCGGAATTGCAAATCTGCGGGGGATTTAAATATCCCCTGCGGCATTTGCATTTACATGGCTGCCGCTTTTTTCCGGCTCGGGGTTATGCCGGAGAAAAGCGCCAGTCTAGACGCGATTATCCGGAAAATAAGCCAGAGACGTTGACAACCTAGCACCAACAAAAAATTGACTTTTCCACCTCCACCTATAATGCAACCCCCACCGTTTCTGTTATTTTTAATGGGAACATTGACCCCGCATAGCACGTTCTCACTTAGCACAAACATTTTCAGAAACGCATCTAGTGTTAAATGAGGAATTACTGTACCGTGCGCAACTAGAATGCCACTTTAAATTGCAGAGGGAAGGCTGGATCCAGCATCTCTCATCCTGGCTACTGGCTTCAGTCTTTGGGGAATTTTTTCAAGCCCTCGCAAGTAAGATGACCAGGACGTTAACTAGTTACTGGCAGAAATCAGGTAGGATTCTGCCTCCCTCTATGGTCAGGTACTTCAAGGGGAATTTCCTCAAATGCTGGAGACAGCCAGACACAGGATATGGGATTAGACAGAGTCAGATATGCCAGTTCCTAGATAAATAGTACAATAGAATAACGGATATGCATTGAGATTCATAATAAATCCTTTTCCCAGGTATCACTGCTGCTGTGTAACAATCACTTTTCTGTGATACCACTTGTCATGTACAGGTTGAACCTCTCTAATCCAGAACTGTCTGGCCTGGCAACATCTGTGGAATGGCATGATGATAGTTAGACATGTCGTTTTATTATGGATGTGGCCAAGTTTCCCGCAGTCCCATAAAGTTTGTTTCCAGCCACCAGTCCTGGTTCTCAGTGGTCTGTGCTGTCCTTTAGCTCTAATTTACCGCCCCTCCCTCCAAACATCTTCTCAGAACCCAGTGTAGGTATCAGGGAAGCGAGTTATGGGCAGTTGGTTCATTATTTAGAGAACAGCCTTCCCTGAAGATTACTCGTGTGAGACAGGATTATAAAGTACAGACTGAACCTCTCTCATCCCGCACTCCTTAGTCCAGCAGCATCCGTGGTCCAGCATGATTTGAGTTAGCCCAACTCTGCTTATCATGGGTGCAGCCAAGTTTCCCACCATCCCACAAAGCTTGTTTATAACCCCCAGTCCTGTCTCTGCCAGGCCACCGCGTGGGAGCACGTGGCGCAAGCGACCATTTGGGCTCCACGCTCCCCATGCAGCACGGGGAGCGCACTGCCCAACCGGACATTTGGGCTCCACGGCCCGATTCTGCCTCCCTCTATGGTCAGGTACTTCAAGGGGAATTTCCTCAAATGCTGGAGACAGCCAGACACAGGATATGGGATTAGACAGAGTCAGATATGCCAGTTCCTAGATAAATAGTACAATAGAATAACGGATATGCATTGAGATTCATAATAAATCCTTTTCCCAGGTATCACTGCTGCTGTGTAACAATCACTTTTCTGTGATACCACTTGTCATGTACAGGTTGAACCTCTCTAATCCAGAACTGTCTGGCCTGGCAACATCTGTGGAATGGCATGATGATAGTTAGACATGTCGTTTTATTATGGATGTGGCCAAGTTTCCCGCAGTCCCATAAAGTTTGTTTCCAGCCACCAGTCCTGGTTCTCAGTGGTCTGTGCTGTCCTTTAGCTCTAATTTACCGCCCCTCCCTCCAAACATCTTCTCAGAACCCAGTGTAGGTATCAGGGAAGCGAGTTATGGGCAGTTGGTTCATTATTTAGAGAACAGCCTTCCCTGAAGATTACTCGTGTGAGACAGGATTATAAAGTACAGACTGAACCTCTCTCATCCCGCACTCCTTAGTCCAGCAGCATCCGTGGTCCAGCATGATTTGAGTTAGCCCAACTCTGCTTATCATGGGTGCAGCCAAGTTTCCCACCATCCCACAAAGCTTGTTTATAACCCCCAGTCCTGTCTCTCAGGGTTTTGTGCTGTTCTTTGACTTTAATTTGCCCCAAACTGTCTTCTCAGTCCCCAGCAAGCAGTGGACGTGTGGGTAATGCTGCTAGACAATATTGACCTCCCATGGTTTGGCAAATTCTCTGATTTGGTACTGGTCAGGTCTCAAGGGTGCTGGGTTAAAGAGGTTCAATCTATACAGCCCAGCCTCCCACCCCTTCACGTGGCTTCACTCCAGGAGCACAGTAACTTCCAATGCAATATTACTCACCAGTAAGGACCCACAGAAGTAAGTTTCTAGTCATTGCAACTGGAGAGATCTTGGAATCTTGAATACAGTTATAAACTCTGCCTCCGCTTTCAAAGAGAATGATTAGGCTGGTTGCAGATGTCGTGTCTTTTACCAGCTGACTTGGAAACCAAAAGCCCACGCCAGCTGTTTTTTCCAGACTACTTTCTTTTTTTATGCTTTTACGGAACAGCATTTTGTCTCATGACAAAGTGGAAGTGCTGGATTTGCTAGTCAGCAATGTGAATTTCTTTTTCCTTAGTCCCTTCTGTTCCTTTGAGAGAAATAAATAATATCCCAATGCCAGCATAGGGAGCTGAACCGATATTATAACTGATGGAAGGCAACAAAACTCACACCCATCATAGAGGGTGTGTCTAGACTACAGAGTTTTGTCGACAAAAGTGGACTTTTGTCGACAAAACTATACCTACGTCTACACTACCGCTGAGTTCTGTCGACATAACGTCGACAGAACTCAGCAGTTTTGTCGATGCTGGTAAACCTCATTTTACGAGGCATAACACCTTTTGTCGACAGAGTTCTGTTGACAGAAGGTGTCATTACATCGAGGGTTGTGTCTAGACTACAGGGTTTTGTTGACAAAGCAGCTTGCTTTATCGACAGGACTGAATGTAGTCTAGACGCTCTTTGTCGACAGAAGCTTTGTCGACAGTATCTGTCGACAAAACT